CTCTCTCTCTCTCTCTCTCTCTCTCTCTCTCTCTCTCTCTCTCTCTCACACACACACACACACACACACACACACACTCTTCAAGCCCATCAGCTCAAACCAAGGCAGACTGACTGCCTATTTTAATACCTCTCAACTTTAAATGAAATAATAATTTCCAATCTGCTCCAGAAATTAACTATGTACCAATTCCCATCCTCACACTGGGGAAAGATAAGCTAAATGGAAAACCAGAGTTTTCTGGTATCTGATTTATTCAAATGTATTAGACTAAAATATGCTTCATTATGCAGAAAGCCTCTGACGTTGGAGTTGATCATAAATACAAAAATGATTTTTTTTTAAAAAAAATCATTATCTAATTTGAGGAGAACCAAAAAGTCTGTCTTGAGATATCTTTCATCTGCTGAGGTTCTCCGTTTATGCATAATTTTAAAAGTTTCACTCTCTATATGTAAACTGTGCTGAAATACTGTTTTATTTTATTTAAGTCCTGTCATGCTGGGTCTGCACAGTTTGCCTCCTTAACCTAATTTAGGATACCCTACGCAGAATCCTGATAAGTGAGAAGCTATGAAGCAAGTTCTATCCTGTGTTCCTATTAAGACACTGTTGCAATGGACACTGGAAAAACTAAGAGGCACAACTGAGATCATTTGCTTGGCCTTGGCAAAGCCACTGTCCATCGTAGCCTGGCTTACTTCAAATGTTGCCAAGGCTAAATGTACATGCTGAGACAAAGAGTACAATCTGCATCTGGTACATGTATTTGGGGTAGAGCTTGAGGACAACAGAAGGAAGAGACTTTGTTCCAGTTCCTTCTTTCCCAGGGGAGAAAAATCTCTTCCTATGTCCATTTTATGCTTTTTCATGAATCTGAGAACAAAGGCAAAGTACACAGCAGCTGCTCCTTTCAAGCTGATTAAACCAGGAGTCTCCAACCTTGGCAACTTTAAGCCTGGCGGACTTTGTTGGCTGGGGAATTCTGGGAGTTGAAGTCCGCCAGGCTTAAAGTTGCCAAGGTTGGAGACCCGTGGATTAGACTATCTCAGGAAAAAGAAACAATCACCGATGGCCATCAGAAACTTTCGTGAACGGTATATGCAGTCCATCATAACAACCAAAGGCAGGCCCTGGGGAAAGTTCATCAAATGATTGAGCCCTTTTTTTTGTCAAATAGGTTTACTAGGAATTATTTAAAAGGCCAGGCTCCCTGAAATTGTAAAGGATTCCTAAGATACTAGGATTGTCTGCTCCAGCTAAGTTTTGTTTTATTTTTTATTGCAAAGTAATAAGTATTCATTCTCATTGTCTCTCTCTCTCCCCCCCCCACTCTCCCTCCCCTCCTCCCTCCCTCACTCTCATAAAACTTCAGATGATTTTGAAGTTGCAATTACAAAATTCTACTTCAAACTGGCAATGTAACTAAACAGAAGTCTTCCTTTAAGATAACACATATTAAAAATGTCCAAAGTATGTTCCTGAAATTGTGTAAAGTTTCTAACACGTGCAATTAGTTAATTTTCCTAAAACAGCTAAAATTGCTCAAAACATGCAAAACTCAAGAGTTCAAGATTGTACTAATGGTTTTGTAATACAATTTCCTTGAATAAGTAATATGAAATGCTCCAAATATCCATTTCCCTTCTTAGAAGGTAAACTTGCCCATCTCTTGTTTTAACTATGCTGTTTTCTAATTAAAACTCTTAGTTACCAATTTCTTGGAATCTGGATTACCCTGAATACCCACCTCCCCATTTCTTTATCAACAGACTTCTTACAATGTATACCACTTCCCATTCTTAATACCTACTATTCTTTAATGTAGTATTATCTTGCTTTTCATAAGATATTTATTCGTATTATTCAAAACTCAGATGTAATTGAAACAGAATCATCAGCCAATATAAATATGAATATGATAAATATGATATTGTTCATTATGAAGACAATTTTCTAGAGGTAATTCTGGACAAACTAATATGAAGCCTCAATCTATATTTTAAAAAAACCTAACTTTCAAGTTGCTTGACAACTGACTCATATTACACCAATGGTTGCAATATCCTGGGATCGTGTGATCGTTTTTTGCAACCTTCTGACAAAGTCAAAGGAGAAGCCAGATTCACTTACTCGTTTAATAACTGTAGTGATTCACTTAACAACTGTGGCAAGAACAGTCATAAAATGGGGCAAAATTCACTTAACAAATGTCTCACCAACAAAAATGTTGGGTTTAATTGTAGGTTTTCAGGAGTATGTTGAATGGTATTGTTGTAAAATATACTTATACTTATTTGTTCTTTTTTGCCTCATCTCCTGCCTTTAATTTCTTTTGCTTGCTTTTTTTTTTTTTTTACCTTTCTGTTATGCTTTGGGAATCGCATGGTGGGCAAATATGTACCTACATACGTAAGAAATGAAAAACGTCTCTCTCTCTGCCTTAAAAGATATTTGGAACCTACAGGCAAGTGGGTATGTTTTTTAAAAAAGGTTGAAAATGAATCCAGACAATATGGTAATCATTCTAGTGATGAATGCCATCTTTTTAGAAGAAATACGCCTCCGTTAAACCAAAGTACCTCTGTAAATCCTTCTGATTAGGGAAAAACCTTGGCCACAACCTAACCCTGGTAATTATTTTTCTGAAAAGCAGTTAAAAGCTGTGCATAGAAATGTTGTTTTCCAACTGCAACTCCCCCGCCCACTGCCCACACCAGTGGTAAGAGGACAGAATGTTTTACCTCAGTCCTGACTGCCATAGCATTTACTGATTTCCAGGCTGCAATTCACTCTACGTGAGAGTAACTTTGTGGAGCACTCAGAAGCCTCAACTGGTAGCACACAGCTGTCCATCTTGCATTAAGGGTTAGAAACAGGTGCATATTCAGCTAATTTTGTGCCAATTATATGTGGCTGCCAATTTGCTTTTAGGCATAATTCCAAATAATATTTTTATTCCTTAAAGTTCTACATGACCTGAGACACTAATGTTTTGAGAACTGCCTTTCCTAAACGCGTCTATTGTGGCATCCTAGCATAGGGTCTCACAACAAAGACCTGTTGGAAAATTCTGTCCAAGATTCAGTAAAGAATGATCAAATCTGGTTTTTTAAAATTTGTATTCAGTATCTGTGTAGGTTGATGAATATATACATTTAATGTATAAAGTTAAAAATAGCTAATGATAGTGAAGTTTAACTGTGGTCCTCAGACAAATTCTTTTTATGAAATCAGGAATACATAATACTGAAATCCAAATTTAAGCAGATGTATTATTTGATATGGTTTATTTTTATTCTTATTTTTTACTAATACATTTAATATATGGTTATAAAACACAAATGATACCTTATTTTGGTATTTATATAGTATTGACTAGAGATTAATGCTGATGATTTAGATTTAAATCTGTAAAGATAGAGAAAAAATATGTCAACCTTAACTATGTTTTCTAAAATGTTAATATTAGTCAGCATGAAATTGCTTAAATTTTACATCTAGAGTTGACCATAGCACTGATAAATAACTGCAAAATTCACTAAATTGATTGTTACAGTACTATATAATAAAGGTTTTATAGGAGATGACCAGGCCAAGCCCAAGGGAGGGGTCAAACGTGCCACAAGTCATGAGTCCCTACACGCCCACAAGAAATCTAAGTCCAGCCTACCTTGAATACCTTTTTATCTTACCTCTTATCTCCCACTCATTTCTCTTGATCGCTAGTTGGTCAGATTCTTGTAGACAGCTAAAGCTTGCGATATCTTTATACTCATTTGAATGTCCTGCATTTCCTAACTTTCCCGGCTCTTCTATCTTAAGCTTAATACAAGGATTCCACTACTTATTGCTGTTTATGCTTATTAAAAAAAGAACAAACAATTAAAAAAAACAATTTTCTAAGTTTCTCCTTCTTTATATCTTTACCAATTTGTGGTATAAAGGGTTTATTCTTTGATTTATGCTTAATATTCTATAAAACAATGGGAGAGGGAAGCAAGCTGTTTGTATTCATCATCACAGTTCACAAGATTGATATGTTTTCTACTGACCATGATTCCACTGTGAATAAATCCTCTTCGGTAGCGGGCTGGTTTGAGATGAGGATATTCTTCGGTGCTTGTTACTTTGATCCCCCACACCTGTTTCCAGGCCTCATAGAGTTGCACATGGACTGGGTACACCCCTGAATGATGGGGGGCCACTGCGTATCCCATATCTGTGGGGATGCCATGTTCCTAAGAAAAGACATTCATAACTGGAATTTTAATGAAATAATTACACTGCAAATGAGAAGAGCCAGACATTCATTTTATTTCTTTATCTTGGCCTACACAATCCAGGCGGAATTCTAGTTTAAGATGTAGTTCAAAGTGCATTTTTTGCTCTTGCTGAATTAGTCAGATCAGGGAGTGCATTGAGTAACTAGCATTACATAAGTCTTATTGTTTCCTGTATTTCTGCAGGCTTTTATGCTCAATTTAAAGCAGGTTTTGTACAGAACTGGCCTGATGACTTTTAATCATCATGCTTCACAGTTTTTCATGAGATAGTTAAATGAACAAATACTAAATTTCTACCCTGCTGAACTGGAAAATATTCTACTTCACATCTGAACAGTTCTTTTATGGAAATGAAGAAATCCTGTTAAAAACACATTTGAATAAGGAGCAGTTAAAAAAAAAAACAATGCTGTAGAATATGAACAAATCCCAGACAACAATCCAAAGTATTGGATTACAGCAGAGGTGGTATTCAGCAGGTTCTGACCAGTTCTGGAGAACCAGTAGTGGAAATTTTGAGTAGTTCAGAGAACCGGCAAATTCCACCTCTGACTGGAGATTTTACAGTATCCTTCCCCTGCCACGCCCACCAACCCACACCCACAGAACCGGTAGTAAAAATATTTGAATCCCACCACTGGATTAGTGTAGTCGTCATCTAGTGACCGTTTGTTCAGCAACTGTTCAAAGTTGTGGCAATGTTGAACAAGTGGTAGTTACAATCAGTCCTAAAAATTGTGGTGTCACAGTGCCCACGGGTCACAAGATCACAATCTGGGCACTTGGCAACCAGATGTTGATAGTTGCAACATCTGATGGACACATGATTGCCATTTGTGACCTTCCCTGTTGACTTCCCATGAATAGGGAAGCCGGCTGCGAGTCGCTCTGGTAAATCCCGTCTTCCTGTGCTCATGAGGGGCTGCCACAAAGAAGAGGGCATCAAATTATTCTCCAAAGCACCTGAGGGCAGGACAAGAAGCAATGGATGGAAACTAATCAAGGAGAGAAACAACTTGGAACTAAGGAGAGATTTCCTAACAGTGAGGACAATTAACCAGTGGAACAGCTTGCCTCCAGAAATCATGGGTGTTCCATCACTGGAGGTTTTTAAGAAGAGACTAGACAGTCACTTGTCTGAAATGGTATGGGTTCTTCTGCTTGAGCAGGGGGCTGGACTAGAAGACCTCCAAGGTCCCTTCCAACTTATTCATTGTATTCATGCCATGCCACCCACCTCTACAGTCTTCCTGCGCTTGCACTCCTAACCCCCGCTCTTACACTATGCTACCCACCCCCAGGCTTTCTTTCACTAATGTGGCAGCCTTGCACTGGGCTTCACTTCACCTCCACCCACCCACCAATTCTCTGCAACCACCCACCAATTCTCTCCCTTCCCCCAAAGCAACCCATGCTCCTTATTTGGGAGTGCCATCACTTCCCATTTAATGACCTGCATCTCTTGGGGGTAAGAACAGCAAGAGCGATTATTGTCTCTCCAAGTGATGTGGATACTTGACTTCATGCTTTATGACTGTGTCGCTTAACAAGAGCAATCCCAATCCCAACCGCCATTGTGACCTGAGGACAATCTGCAGTTTAAGAAGCGCCTTCTGCAAAATTACAATATTACGCTTTGTTTTCCTCTCCCTTATAATTAAGTTTTGTTAATTAATGTAATGGTGTTAATAACACTTCCAAAACTTCATACCCCTAAGAAGTATCTTTTGCAGACTCTTTTAAAAAAGGAAGTAATTTCACAAGGTCAGGTAAGTACTGTGCTGAAAGACGTTGGGAATTATCTAGCAAAAGCACTGATTGAATAAACTATATTTAGGTTATTTTTCAACTGAAAGTATTATAGTACTATTTTAACATACACTTTCTAACGTCAGGCCCAAGCCCAGAGACAAGTCAGCAAGATCCAATCAAGTTCAATCCTTTATTTGTGTACATGTAGTGGACAGACTCTTGCCAAATTAAAGCTATACTTTTCTAATCTACTAGTATATCCTGAGAGATTCTAGGGTGCCATGACCCTGAATCTTTTCCTCACTGTCCCCTCCAGATTTGGGTCATGCAGTGTCTTGGTCTGGGCCTCTCTCTGAGAAAGCACTAAGTTGGCCAAATCCTCCCCCTATTCTGCTGCAGGTGCACATTCCAACACAGCTGCATCTGGATGTGATGGAGTAACATGAATATGCTTAATGTTAAAATTAGAACAGTACATTAGGAAAAAATTGGGGAGCACCAGGAATGAATCACTATTAAACTAGGGAAAATGCTAATGTGGAACTGAGCCACTTAATGATACTGGAAACACTATTTGTCTCTGTATGTCCTTACTAGGAAAAGGAAAAAGGCAGCCCTTGCACTGACAGCAATGTTGAGAGCTCACATGCAACACAACCAACCATCAGCGTGGTTCTGGAGATATGTATTAAGTTTTCAGGAGAATAGTTACAAAGTCCCAATTTAAATTTAAAACAGAGACTTGTGGGCAATAGTATGCTATTTAATGCAACCATATATTAGCAGATATTTGGATGGTGTCATAGGAACAATTATTTGTTTTTAGCATACATGAAAAGTAAACTAAAAAAAAATGCAGCTGCAGATCAGTAGCTATAGGAGACACACACAAGGGCATAAATAGCAGCACACAATTTGGGAACTATTAGGTGTACCATGAATTGAAACCATTTGGGAACCTCTGTTAGTCAAACTTTCCACTCTGTAGGTATGCAATGCTTCAGATTGTATTACCTGAAAATATTATTCAACTGGTTACAAATCCATAATATTTAAAGACTTTCCCATTTTAGTGGTTTAATGTACAGTCACTCTGTTCTGGCAATTCCTGTTTCATTTTGCAATGATAAACTTGCTATAGCCACTGGTTCTAGATGAGAAGTGAGCAAACTAGTAATTCTACATGGTGAAACTATCCTCTGTTTTTCATAAAACCAACCCTCCTCACTCCAGCAGTAGTCCTGGACAGCATCTTACTTACCACGGCAAATTTCTTGTTCATGGCCATTTGGTCTGCCAACACAGATTGATTGTGAAAAAGGTGAGGCTGCATGTGACTCCACATATGGGGGAACCACCAAAACTCCTTCACGTAAGAAAGCAGAAGGTCATCTCCCTCGTCCTCTGCATCTGTACCTGCCAGGACCAAAGCATCATCATCTAAGCATCATCATCATCATCACTAAGCAATGTTTAAGCCACAAATGAAGGCAGAGCTTCACAAAAATCATACCACTCAATCTGACAGCTTCTACACTGAGCAGCATTAAATGGAGTACACTGCATGGATTAAGTTAACCCCAAAACCTTGGATCTCCCCAAGTAGAATGAAATAGAGAAAACACTCTTCTTTATTAACCAGACACACAACACTATCATTTCCATGTCCAGAACTCAATGCAGAGGAGAAATCCTGTGGCCTTTCAAATGGTTTATAAAGTACAAATCTCAGCAGCCTTAGACAACATAAAAGATAATAAAGGATGCCTGCAGTTATAGATTACATTTGGAGGACTTCAGGTTCTTACAGTTGCCCTAATGCTTTAAGACATTATTCAAGTTTTATTAGGCAAATTTTCAGCAGTCACAAAGAATAAAAGGTTTGAGAGCCTAGTAAGAAAACTTTGCCAATTGTATTCTTACCTGTGTGGAAAAATTTCCCTGAGTAGCCCAGATTGAAGGTGAAATTTGGGATGTGGGTACGTAGTTCATTCTGAGTGTCAAACAAAGCCTACAGGATGGAGAAAAGAGAATTTAAAAGAGTAGCTTACAGAAAAGATTGAATCTACGTAAGCTGCAAAGCTATTTGAACTAGGTGTTACCTCAATTGTAGTAACTACAAGAAGAATCTGGGAGTCCTAATAGACAGTCACTTAAATATGAGCTAGCAGTGTGCTGCAGTTGCCAAAAAAGCCAACACAGTCCTGGGCTGCATTAACAAAGGGAAAGACTCAACATCACATGAAGTGTTAGTACCACTTTATAAAGCCTTGTTAACCTCAAATTTGGAATATTGCCTCCAGTTTGAGTTGCCACAATATAAAAAAGATGTTGACACTCTAGAAAGAATGCAGAGAAAAGCAACAAAGATGATTAGGGGACTGGAAGCTGAAACATAAAGAAGAAACGCTGCAGGAATTGGGTAAGTCTACTTTAATAAGAATAATAATAATGAAAAGGATTAGAGGTGACTTGATTTAAGGGGCTGCCACAAAAAAGGTGATCAATCTATTCTCCAAAGCACCTGAACGCAGAACAAGAAGCAATGGATGGAAACTAACCAAGGAGAGAACCAATCTAGAAATTAGAAGAAATTTTCTAAAAAAAAAATTAACCAATGGAATGGCTTGCCTCTGGAAGCTGTGGGTGCTTCATTACTGGAGGTTTTGAAGAAGAGATTGGACAGCCATCTGTCTGAAATGGTATAGGGTCTCCAGCTCCAGTAGAGGGTTGAACTAGAATAACTTCCAACTCTATTATTCTATTAAGTCCCTGAACTTCCCATTCTTTTTGCCAAAAGCCCATATATTGCATGGATTGCTGTATGAATATGGATTACTGCAGATAACAGAAACCCTTGCTCAAATACTCACAAGATTGGAAGTTTCTGGACATTCTATCACAGATATTGATCACATTCACATAATCTTTGTTCAAATGTAAAACCACTTTGAGCCATGATTATAGTGGTATTTCTACATATTGCTCTTTTTATTACTGTAATGTTAGTAAATTATTACTTGGTTCCCTAAATGGGTAATTCTAAATTTGATATTCCTGCTTTCTGAAAACCTGACCTATCATCTACTGACTTTCAAAAATATTCAACAACATATTCAAGAATTACATTTGCAAACAGCCTCCTGTCTTCTTCTTGAACTGTTGTTGCTAACATTAGAGTCGTAATACTTCACTGAATGTCATAAGGACCAGTCTACAGTTCCTGCTGCAACTTTCACTTCCAAAAAGTGAGAGGAAGGAGCTTCTTGTATAAAAAGTATTTTATTACTGCCCTAGAGGATAAAAACTAAAAGCTAGGAAGCATCAAGTTCCATGCTACCATAGAAAGGGAAACAAGAATGTATACTAGTTCAGACATTTCTTTTCATTAACATGTATTAAAAAATGCATTTCATTAATTCACATGCCATTAGAAGTTTACTTTTACAGGACAGCTATATTGTGAACTACAGATATATTTTGCAATATCCAACTTCAGAGATCACTATTAATAAAGTAATCTTTGGACTCACATATCGCCTTTCTGATAGGAACAGGTATTTAAATTCACTTGAGATACCTTTTATGAACCATGCCCATGTTGGATATCCATTAAATACCTGTTGTTTCAACCTTTGACTGATACACATTTATTAAACTTAAATGACTAGCGAGAGGGTTCAGTGACATCTCTACTTTTGTTGAAAATAATGGCCAGTAATTTAAAAGGCAATTTATTGTATTTATTTATCAAATTTATTAGCTGCCCATCTTACCACAGGGCAATTCTGGGCATATTGTATGATTTATGTTTTTCATTGCTGCTCTGTTCTTTTAAATGAAATTTAAGGCTAATGACATGAAATAAAATTTTTCAAAAGCATCTTGCTGTGACTAGCAATGTCTGTTATATGGCTCAAAGGTTTCCCCATGTCTTCCTTCCCCCTCCCTTTGGTAATTAACATTTGACCAAGATCAGAGTTTACTGGTCAGTTTGCTTATAAAATACTCTCCTCAAAACAAATTTCTTTCAAGAGAAATTGTATTTTTCATAAGATGTCAAAAATTGTCTAGCACCTCACATACAGAACTTTCCCATTTTATGCAAAGTTTCATAAAAGTTTCACTAATGTTTCACATTAGTGCATGTGTACCTATCTATAGCTAAATCAGTTTAGACACCTGCAATCCAAACAGTATGCTAGCAGATAGAACAAGCAATGAGAATTCTGGGATCTAGGTCACTGATAAGCATCAATGAAACCCCATTTAAACTTTTTCTTTAATTAAATGAACTCGAGGATCAATAGGCTCCACATCAACCCATAACCGTAAAGCCAAGAGCAATGTGCAGGTCTAAGAACAGTTACCTTCACATCATCCACCTTCATTCGTGTGCCTTCCTTGCCAACAAAGATATCATCAATGTCTACCAAGATGTAACGGTCAAGGGGAAGTGAAAGCCTCTTGCTGGTCAGGAATGAAACAGCGTCCACAAAGACCAGTTTGTGTAGCCAAAAGTTGAGATTGTTGCCAAAAAGGACTCTCTGGATGCCATCATGGAGTCCCAAGTCTTGTACGACGGTGGTATGGAGTGCAGCGTCAATACTCATGTGTGGGATGGATTCAGCTGACTTGGTTTTAGCGAGGAGGACTGGTTCATATGTGGAATGGTTTGACTGGAAGACTGTCCAGTCCTCCCCTGGAAGAAGTCCCTTCTCTACCTCGCTGGGCCGCGTGATGTACAGCAGTGGTGATTTGGGATTGATGCTGCAGTCCTTCAGTGCAAGGTTGGAGTGGAGAAAAAGGGGGAAACCTTTCAGCTGAGCACTCAGTAAGCTGTTCTCGTTTGCCTGTAAAGAGATCACATGAACTGAGTGACAACTTCAGACTGGAAGTTGTCAGGCGACATTAAAAACAAGGACAAACGAAGTGAATTTCAGCTTACCATCAGGGAGATAACTTTCTCTGCTCAATGGACTCTTCAGAAAGCACAATGGGTCCTAGTTGCTTGGCAAGTCCAAATCTCAGGACTAAAAGGCCAAAGGACACTAAACACTTTCAGCAGAGATGTATCATTCAAAAGTTTCCCCATTCAAAAGCTTTCATGCAGCAATCCAGAAGCCACAGCTGAATTCTTGTTTGTAATAGAAACTGGTAGGGAAAGTTTTTAGAGGCATGGAGGGTGACCTTACTACTGTAACTTTATGTCTGTAGATATTGTCAGTCATTCATAGTTGGGTCAAAGGTGCTTTTTCAAAAGGCAACTGGACTGTTTTGTTCTCTGAGGAAGTAGAATACTTTCGCTTCTCATTCAAGAAGCTTCTTCAGTTCTGGAAGGATGGTGTGGGCAATGAAAGGATTACTTCTGACAGGATTGGGAGTGGGGAGGTTTGGAAGGGTCATATTTCTTTGCAGTCATCCTGCAGTTAGCACTCTCCCTGAGGCCAAAGAGGACCCTCAGGGTCACCTGTACCAGAGTGCAAATGGGGGTGGCATCTTCTTGGAACTGCTGCATGATAGATAAGAGATAGGTGGTGTCTTATCCCTCCCCTTTTCTTGAGAGAGGACTGCTCAACATTAACAAAAATGGCCTCTTTTATGCCTCTTTCAAGCCAATGGTCCTCTCCAGGGATGGGCTTCAATGTTTTTAGCAAAGGGTTCTCTGCTCGGTTACTGGGTGAGTGTGACCATGGTAGGCGTGGCCTAGTTGGCCTCCTGCACCACAGTGGGGGGTGGGTGGGCGTTTTTGCCTTCCTTGATCCTCTGGGAGGGCGAAAACGACCACTCTGGCCTCCGGAGGCTCTATGGAAGTTGGAAATGGGCCCATTTCTGGCCTTCCCAAACTTCTGGGAGGCTGTTTTTTACCCTCCCCGAGCCTCCGCATACACCCTGCACTTACCTGCATCCAAAACAGGCTGCATGGGGACTCCTGGAAGGAGCGGGGCAGGGTGGGTGGGGCCAGCCTGGAGTGGGATTTGGGGGTTCTCCGAACTTCACAGAATCTTAGCTAGGGACTCTCCTGAACCCCCGCAAACCCCCAGCAGCCCACCCATGGTCCTCTCTATCCAGAATGTGGACTTTGCTTCCATCATCCCCCACCCTCATCCTGCCAGAACCGATAAAGCTTCTTGAATGAGAAGCTAAACAACTTCTTCCTCTTCCTCAGGGAGAAATAAGTCCAATTGCCTTTTGAAAAAAAAACACATTTGAGACTATTGCAAAATTTTGATTTGGTGTAATTTAAATATGGTTAAAATCATTTTACTTATTACCCCACCCAGACCCTTCTTTTAGAAGCACTGGGACTTTGCTCTTGATTAAGCTATAAATTATGTTCCTAAAAAAATCAACACGTTCACTATCTTTGGTCAAATAATAAGAATGTCATTCGTATATGCATTTCAGCAACCAGAGCCAGTTTGCAATGGAATATGGAACAGTTTATTACCAATTTTAACATGAACCTTTTCTTAGAAGAAAAATCCAGATTGTATATAACTCAAGGCAGCAAGCATAACAAATACTTCTGCTTCCTACTTTCCCACAACAACCCTGTGCAGTGGGTTGGGCTAATTAATTGTATAAGCTAATTATTTTACAAGTGTCACCATATTTTTTAAAAAATCTTCTCTGAACTGGCCATTATAAAAGGGGGAGAATGGAATCTAGTCATGACTTATCTCTAATTTAAATATAAGCAGACTGAAGGGAAGAAGAGCAGCAAGAATAGAAATCCTGAAGGTGCTTCCATGTGACACAGAATATGACAAAACAACAAACCTAGGGGTGGGAGGATCTGCTCTCTAGCATTCAAACTCCAGATGGCATTTTTCTCTGAGCAGACAAAAGCAACCTAATAAGAACTGAATAGGTTACTTGTTTCAAGATTTGCTGCAGAGAGCAACAATCCAGTGCTCATGCACTCTGAGAATTATAAAATGTCAGGATTTAAATTTATGATGGTTCATTTAATTCCTCACAGAGTCCAGAGCTGCTCATAGCATCTGGCTGCATGTCTCTGCCATTAAACTAATGCAAAATAAATAATGGCACTGCCCTTGGTTCAAAATGTTGTAAGAGGGGAAAATATACCAATACATAGTCAAACAAGAGACTTAAGAAACTTGTTCTAAGATTAGGTCAAAATATGCCCCTTATCTATTAATGTCCTCTCTTACTCTTAATCCACAAAATCTCTAAAATGGCTTTCAGGGGACGGATATACATGGCTCTCAATGGAAGTCCTACAGAAGTAAAAAAAATGTTTCAAAAGGCACTGTTCATATGTACACAGGATGGGGGGGGGGGGGGGGGAGAGGGCGGGAGGGAGGGAAGGAGGATGGTTGGCTTACAACTCCAAAGTACTTTAGGGGGAAAAAACACATTATCTGTTGAGGATTCAATCTAAGCCACAGTAATGAAATGGCATTGGTTATGCTTGGCAATAACCTTTGGTGGGCCCTGGATAGGGGTACTATATTTATCTTGTATTTCCTTAACCTTTCAGTGGCCTTTGATATGGTGGTTGCCTCTTTACTGCAGGGCCGATTCAACTTGGTGTTGGGAAAGGTTGAGCTACAGGCCCGTTTTGGGGTAGCTCAGGGTTGCCTTTAACATTCACATGAAGCAGCTGGGGGAGCTCTCATGGCACTCAGTTGTAGATCTCTGCCTGGGCTAATCAAGTAATGCCATAGCCCCTTTCCCTGGAGCTTGCGAGGATCTGGATAGAGGACAGACTTAATCCCAACCTTGGCAAAACTGAGTGGGTATGGATGTTTAGGGTCTATGGTTCTGGAAATTCTCCATCTTTTAAGCTTTAAGCATCTTTAAGCCAGTGAGCAAACTGGGTGTCCTCTTAGACTCACAGATTCCCACTCTTCTTAGCAATCATAACCACGCTAAGATGATTGATTCAGGCCATCAACAATGGAGACATCTGCTAGGAGAAAGCTTTCTTACACTGCCTTTGTATTACCTTCTAATTTTATGCATAAAATGTGAAGTGAACTAATTTCGGGGCATACAATATTGTGTTGCATGCCTCTGGCCCTTTTAAAATCTCAGGTGTGAAGCATTTCTCTGCCTCTGAGATGTCATGTCAAAAATATAGGATACTTAGCTACTCAGTTCACTTTTGTTTTTTTGCAGAGAAGCATAAATAGACCTTGGGGAATATTAACAAAGAATCATCTCACAAGAAATCAGGAAAGCGAACTACAACTTGAAATGTCATAGTACCCTTTGATAACTTCATTGTGCAATAGGAATAGGCTAACATATATTATTCTGCTTTTCACTGTTGCTCAAATCTTATCAGTCAGCGTATCGCTTCTCCTCTTCCCATCATTTCAGTAAACACTTTCTCAAATTTGAAATACCTTGAAAAAGCCAATGATGCCTACACCGTACTCTACACAGTACTTGTCCAAGAGCTCACGATTCCAGGCATCCAGGTTCACATACTTCAGGATGTTCTCATAGATGATAAGTGCAAAGCGCCCTCGGTCCTTGTCAGTCAACGTAGGCATGTCTCCCTTCCCCGGAGCGATCTCTGTCAGATATTTGAAACGACTAGATTCCAAGATGGCCACAATCTCCTGTCCCAGTTGAGAGTAAAGGCTTTCCACGAACACAAGGACCAAGGGGTCAGTCCGAGAAGAATCTACCACTTTGATGGGTTTTATTGGTAGCAGGCGTGAAGGAGCAATCTTCGGTTCATCACAGTCTGGGCTCGGGATATCCCCAGAGGGTTCCAGTCCCCTCTTCCACCCATATAAATAATACGCGGAGACAAAAACACTGAGCAGGCAGAAGGCAAAGAGCAAGAAGAGCACCACTTGAGGCGATACCTGCCGGAAGCTCCTCCGGATCCTTACTAGAGTCATCCTTGCTTTGGAAAAAGAGTTTTCAGGTTCCTTCCCCACCCCACCCACCCTTCCCCCCTCCCTCCCTCCAGGTCTCAGCTCAGGAAAGATTGGAGATAGTTTCACAAAGAGGCCATCAATGTATGGAATTGCCCCTGTGACAGTCTCTTATCCATCCTGGTCCTTTTTCATGTCACCATGGCAAATCCATTCAAAGTTCCTTTCTCAGATAAAAATACCAACAGTTTCTCATCGTCACTGTTTTATTAGGATGGAAATCTGGCAGCCTTGGCCTCCGGGAACTGTTCTCAAGAAGCAGGACCACATGGTGATTCCTTGGGTCTGCGAACAGAAGCAAAAGGTGGGGGGATGTTAGCAGTGGGGAAGAAAAGCCTCCCTTTCCCAGTTCAGAAGCTCTGCCTCTTAAGACGTTTGCTTTCAAACAGAGAATTTATGGGCTCCTCACATCTACTTGGCTTCTCTTGCAGTTGGAGTGGGAGAAAACTCACTATACCATACATAAGTGCTCTTTACTTTCGTTTTTTGTTTTAATTATTATTATTTCTTATCATGTACCAGGCAGTGAACTTTCTGCCACTATTGCATAATAAAAGCTGGACTTGTTAAGACAATTTTTTTGGGGAGAGCAGAATACGCCAGTGGGTGGATGATTAGGGATGCTCTTTTTTCTTTCCAGAGCATTCAACTCTTTGCATTCTTTCATCTTTTTTTTTTTTAAGTTTCCCAGGCTATTTAAACCCACATAAATAGCACAAGGAAGGAGTCAGAGAAATAGCTAAGGAAGATAAAACACAGGCTCGTGCATAAATATACATATATACATATATACATACACATACACATACACATACACATATACATACATACATACATACATACATACATACATACATACATACATACATACATGCAAACCGGATCTTTCTGAGGCCTTAATCTGCAGAAGGAGAATAATACACTAACTTCAACCAAGTTCAACTAGCTTTATAGAGAAACTATAAATGTAAGATTGCAGTAACCCCCCTCCGCTTCCCCAGCCTCAATTCAATCTCAGGGCATCAATTAAAAAAAAAAAAAAGCCAGCTGCCCTTCAGAGAACCATACATGCAACTGTCTTACAGAGGACCCACAGTTTGTTTTCCCAGTCTTGCAGATCACTCCCATGTAGCCACACTCTCTGCACCTGCTTCAGCTTAGTGTCAATCACTTGCCAACACACCACAAGAAGCCTTTAATACTTTGACAGTGTAGAGGGCTGTAAGAAATGCTGCCGTTGCTTTTGTATGCTTGGAAAGGCCAGAGGGGGGCACTCAGCCCAGCTTTAACTCGTGGAACAAAAACATGAAACAATTACAAATATTCTCCTACAGGCAGTCACTGAAAGAGCCATCCCAAGGCACTTACTTCCAAATAAGAGAACATTATTCAATGGCAAATGGTTGGGGCATTTTAACTATGGGTTAGAATACCTTCAAAGTACACATAGACACAAGACAGCCTCAAAAAAGCTGAAAGAGATAAACAGAAAATGTGTATTTCACCCACCCCAGTTTTGAAAGGCAAACCCGGTTTCTGTATTCTCTCACTGTGGTTTAGTGCAGTAAGTTTTCCAGTTTCTCAGTCAAGAAATAATCTTACAAAGCTTAAAAGAACGTTTGGGAAGTGATCTTTCCAAGGACCCAAGCTGAGCCAGGAGCAAATTAACCCAACTGCCAAATGAAGACAACAGGAGTGAGGAAACAACCACCTTGTATAGAAAGCACAGCAGTTCCTACAACCCTGCTCTTGAGCCCACACAGGTGAACAGTTTTGACTTGCATACCATAATGCCAGTCAGCTCACAGCTACATCAATTATCATACATGCGCACCTTCAAATTTTCTTTAATCACAGTATTTACTTTTCCCATAGATATAACTTTTGGCATTCCTGTTTCCAGGGATGCAAAGAATGGACAAAGTAATAGTACCAGCTAGAAAATGTATCCCTAATAGGTGGAGCATGTTTAGATCACAACAATTCCACACAGTATTCTTATTCAGTAAAAGCCGATCTTTGAACATCCATCTGAATTTTCATTTAGGACTAAATGAGACATAAAATTAAATCTATCTTTGGCTTGAGACTGATAATAATCCAGAGCACAGCAGGTATATGACATGAAACATATTCTCCTGTGCCTCTGCTCTTATCCTGGAGAAAAAAAAATTCTGCATTTAATATTAGCACCAGGAAGAAAATCCCCACTGTTACAGATTATGAATTTCCTTACAATGCAAATAGCAATTGCTTGGGGGTGGGTGGGGGAAAAAGGATACACTTAACTTTCTTCATATCCGCTTTGATACGAAAAAGATCAATCCCTGGCAGCTGCAGAATTTTCTATTTCCAAGCTACAGCTCACTAAATGCAGATACTGTAGGTTAAACCATTATGTTTACTTTATCCATTAAGGTTGAAGTTTAATAGCCACAATATTTTTCCTTACTGATTTTTTTAGTGACACTTAATTATTACAGCTGAGGACAGAGACCCCCCCCCCTTCCCCCTATTCACAGTTGCAAGTTGAAACATCTGGCAAAATTTCCAAAATGTGGTTGTGAAGTGCTCAGTCTTGTATTCTACTCTTCATTAAATTTTAATCAGACATTACTCAGACTTTTTAAAGCACAAAGAATGAATCACAATTATTGTTTTCCCACAAGCTAAAGCTCCCTAGGGTAGGTGCTCCATCAGTGCACAGGAAGACACTACTCTGAATCTAAAGAGCTTTTCTAGCATGCTGGACAAGAGATCTCCCTCTACACAGGCTGGACAATCAGACAGATCAGTTAGGCATGACATTTTATATCCCTGATATGTGAGTGCTACTAGTAGAACTTTTTAATCTGGCTGGCCAACAGAAAGCCTGCCACGTAACTACTGTAATGCAATACACATTTTTTAAAAACAATTAAAAGGTGAAAAACACTGAAACCAAGTTTAGAGTAGGATAATCTCAGACATAAGTAAGAGGGAGAACATCCCTAGTCCCATCTAGCCAACTCCTGGACTCTTATCTCCTGCTTAAAAGAGCAGATGCCAATCATAACCAGAAGGGTCTATATACAAATCCATTTTTTCAATAGAAGGGAGTATACAGTTTGTAGCTCAGGAACTGTGGAGTCCTTGGTGCTCTTTGAGCTTGGTTGTTTGCCTGCAAGACATTTCATTACCCAACTAGGTAACATCATCAGTGTGAGTGAATGTGGGGTTTGCTACAGTAGCTTGCCCTGCCAGTTTTGATGTGGGTTATGGTTTTCTCTTTGGTACAGGTAGTCCTCAATTTACAAGCACAGTTGGAATCAGAATTTCTACTGCTAAGAAATGCAATTGTTAAGTGAGTCACCCAATTTTATGACTTTTTTTGCCACTGACATTAAGCAAATTTGGTCCCGTCCCCCCCCCTTTTAATCTCCAAAATGCTTTAACCATTGTAAATTCTTATCAGTTGCCAAGTCCCTGAATTTTAATCAGGTGACCAATAAGGTCTCTACAACAATTGGTTGTAAGTCACTTTACTTGGCACCGTCATTAACTTCAAACAGTTGCTAAATGAATACTTGCAAGTCAAGGTCTACTTATATAGTTTCTTGATTAGGGTACTGTTTCTTGCTTGATTACCTGGTATTAATCTCTACGTTGATGTTGGCTTCTGGAGAGGATATGTTCCGGCCTTTTTGTCTCCTGCTCTTAATTTTTTTATTGACTCTTTTGTATGGTGTAAATGTGATTTATTTCTGAGTGTCTATTGATAGCTGATTATCAGAATGCCAAGCTTCCAGGAATTCCATAGCATTTTTTGATTTAGCTTGGTCTAGGATACTCACAGTTCCCAGCTGAAACTGTGGTAGAACCTGTCCATGTGCTGTGAGATGAAGGCATAGTGTCTTCTGACTGCTAGTTGGTGTTCTTTATTTGTATTTGTATTTTTATTTTTTTAATTGCTATTATTATTTTGATAACTAACTCAAGATCAGGGGTGTCAAACTTGCGGCCCGCGAGCCAGATGTGTCACATGCTTGCCACGCCCATCCCCCAGTTTAGCAAAAGAAAAAAAGTTGCGATACGTCACATGACAACAAGACGCCACCCCTGCTCAAGATTATAAACATACCTAATACTCACAAATGAAGGCAAACGTACATGTCCCAGGACAATATGGCAGGATTCAATATCGAGTTGGTCACCGGGACCAAAGATTTTTTCTTCCAATCTTTCAGGCTCATGCTGGAGCCCATCCTCAGGGAACTTCTTTCTCTCTCTCTCTCTCTCCAGAATGTGTGAACGTGTGCAAACATTCTGGAGAAAGAGAAGTTCCCTAAGGATGGGCTCCAACACGAGCCCGAAAGCGTGGAAGAATAAACCTTTGGTCCCAGTGACTGACTCAAATTGAATCCTGCATATCTAATACTCCTTCCTCCTTCTATTTCCCCCCACAACTATCCTGTGTAAAGGATCGGATGGTTAGACTGACCGGCCCAAACTCACCCAGCTGGCTTTCATGCTAAGGCGAGACTACAGCTGGTTTCTAGCCTGGTACCTTAACCAATAGATCAAACTGGCTCTCATAACTAGCATAGTGGATGTTCCACTCTTTACACTATATGTTGTAGATCATTCCTGTTTTTTTCTTTTTAGACAACTAGGTCTTTTGGTTTAGTTATAATGCTTTGGAGCAGGGGTCCCCAACCACTGGTCCCCGGACCGGTACCAGTCCGTGGATCATTTTTTACCAGGCCGCAAAGCTTGGGCGCCGCCATCTTGTTTCAACGGTGCTTCCGGGTTTTCGGTTGCTTCCGGGTTTTCGGTTGGAAAGTACTTCCGGGTTTTCAGTTGGAAAGCGGCGTTTGGGTGCTCGCGCCTTAGTTTCGTCGAAGGGGGGGGGGGCTTCGAACGAAGAGCCGTCCCGATGGTGGTGGAGTCTCACGTTCCTCAGGTACCAGTCCGTGGAAGAATAAATAATCGTGAAACTGGTCC